ACATGACAAAGAAACATGACATCAAAAAGTTCTACTGATGATAGTCTATATCATATCTTGTCAAACTATAATCTATAATTGTACATGATGAAGAAACATGACATCAAAAGTTCTACTGATGATAGTCTATATCATATCTTGTCAAACTATAATCTATAATTGGCATTTCCAGATTATTTCCATTCAACAACCCTATTCGATTTGAAAGAGTAGGAATTGATCACAGTGAAGAAGAGAATGTAACCAAGCCCATAACAGACTTCCCACTTCTTTCTCAGGCCACGAAGCAGTGTGCAGATATGGGAGACTATTCTATTGAGAAGCGTGCAGCAAAATTTGGAAATGCCCTTGAAAGCTATACGCTCTTGAGAGTAAAAAGAAAAACATTTAGAAAAAAGTGAGTTGAGAACTTGGCCGTATCTTTCTTAAAATTTTCTGATGGATAATCTATCAAAGAGCATATCAAGCTAGATAATTTTTCTTTATTTTGATGTTGTTACCTTTGATTGTAAGTATGCACTTGATGTCAAATTAGTGTTGAACTCTTAGTTTTTAAAATTTGGAATCTACAGTGAAGGGTTCAAACATATATTCATATGACAAATAATACAATTTCAGAAAGTGTACCTTATTTAAAGCTAATATATTGTCAGCATAGGCATTTTTTAATCCATGACTTACAATTCTATAACATAACAGGTAATATTAAATTAGACATTATTTGCTGTAGGCACTAAAGATTACATTAATAATTTATAGGAAATTCAAAGAAACTTTGATAATATTGATGATTTTATGTGTGCAATAGAAATGACATGAATTGTAGAAATTGTTCAGAGAGGCTGGGCTTGACCTAGTGGCTAGCATGCTCAGACTGTGAATTTGATGACTCATGTTCTGCAGTTAGTTGCTGCAAAGATCTGCTTTGCACTTTGAGGCCATTGCTTATAAGAGTGATGGTGAAATCTATTTGATGAGAAGGAAGTAGTGGTTAAATAGTCAACAGTGGGTGATGTTGACTGGCTACTTTTTTCTTTAGTCTATAAGCTCAAAATTATATAAACAGATTTTTGTGTAGTTTTGCATGAAATTTCTGAAACAATGAAATAAATTGTGCACAGCCTTTAAACATGTTTTGCATTAGAAATGCAACTTAAACTGGATATAATATGTTCCTTTTTTTTATTATTATTACTGGCAAAGTTTTAGTTTCAAATTTTATGAAACTACACATTTTGAGAATAAGATAAAATAGCTGAAAACAGCCAATATAATGAAATATGACTCAGGTTAAATATGTCCATATGCCAAATATAGATTGAATCAAAAACAGATAATAAATTTTAGAACGAAAAAAAAAATTCAATAATGAAAAAAAAACCACTAAGTTATTAGGAATTCATCATTGAATAGATATAATTAAATTACAAAATTGAAATGTCTAACTTTTATAAGTCTCACAGCTTTAATAGAAATGTTTTATGTTTTCTTTTTATATCATAGGTTTAAAGTTTTATTTGACTTCCGTACATACTATCGCAATGGACTATTCCTGTATGTACACAATGGTCGAAAGAAGAACTATCACTTTGCTGTCATGCTTCGTGGAGGAGCTGTTGTTGTTGATGTGTTCGATAAAAAGAACCGAAGACTTGCTAGTCATGGAGATTTGGATGATGGGCAGTGGCACAAAGTAAGTAGTTTTTTGAATCAGGTGTTAGGAAATTATTACAACCGAGTTACTGTGTTATAAGTTTAAAAACTAACCAGGATCGTGCTACAATAACGGAACAACTTTTAAGTTGTTGCAAACACAGTGACATAAGTAATGGTATAGCATGAGAAAGTTTATTGTGGTGACTTCCAAAACCAAGTAACTATTTCAACTTGAAATTAAGGATGCTAATAGTCCCTGAAAACATTGAAAATAACATCTTTTTTGTATTTTGGCCTTTTATGAGCATTCTGATAAAAAAAAATATAGTGAATATATGGTTTTTATCCAGGAGTTTTACTAATTTTAACTATGATACTATGACAAACCAGCTAATCACTGCTGGTGTAACTGGGAAGTGTTTTAAATGAGTAGTTCTTGGTTGGATTCAAGCTTTTAGCTACAATGGCAACTATTAGGAAGGCTATTATTGAAAGAAAGTCAGACATGACAACCATCAACATGGGTATTAAAAATAAAATTGGTTGAAGAAAGAAAATCCTGCTTGGAAATGTAACTGGAAAACTGAGAAAGGCTGGCTTTTCACTTTTTAATATTTTTCAGAGAATCAGATATGCAAAATGTGTTTGCTACATTGGAAGACCATGTAGACAAAAAAGAAAGCCAATGAACTCTGTTACAATGCTATAAAAAAGAAAGAAAGAAAAAAAAAAAACTCGACTATTTTGTTGGCTTGGCTGGTAATTTGAAATAGACTTTAACTCTGGTGCCAGTGTATTTTTACTGTATACGCAATATTTGTATTTGAACATAACAGTTACATTACACATTTGGAAAGGTGTGTGTGATTACAGTGTCATATCCAAATGAAAATACTGGTCTCTTGTAAACACCTTGGAATGCTGAAAATATACCATGGAGGTAAAACATTATGTAGGAAATGATATCCAATTTTTAAAATTTTTAAAGGGGTCCACATTAGAGCCATTATTTGAATACATAAACATATCAAAATTAAGTCTACATACAAAACTTTTGTAGCCAAACTGGTTTTATTGTGGCCTAGCAATTGTCACTAGATGGCAGCACAATATTTTATAAAATTAAATATATTCATAACATGAGATTTATTTGGTTAGGTGACATCATTTAGTTCCTGTTTTAAACCATGAATATGAGTTTTAGGAGAATTATTTTGATTGATTATCTTTTTATGGTTTAGTAGAAATATAAGAAAAAATATTTTTTTGGGTTGTTATGAAATAATACCATTGGTTTCAGTTATAATTATTATATTTATTATGTTGCACTAAATACATGTAATAGCTCATATTAACTATTTTTTTTGAGTAGAATGTCTATACTGAATTTTATTCCCCCAACTGACACTAAAGGTTCGGGGAATACAGCTATAACATTGTCTGTATGTAGACATTACTTTTTACTTGATAACTAAGCTCTAAACAACAGCTTTTAATCAAACTTTACAGATCATTGCCCTTGAGGCTGATTAAGAACCCTATTTCTTTTGGGATTAAAAGGTCAAGGTCACCATTTAAAAAAAAATAGGCATATGGTGTCTTTGCAAAAGAAATCTAATGAAAAATACCTTAGGTGTGAAAAAAGATGCGACCAAAAGAGGATTGAGTGTGGGACTTAAAGGAATGAAATCAAAATTGGCAGCCAAACTTGTAGTTACACTTATAGTATTGATAAGAATTTTACATCAAATATTCATTCATTAACCAACCAGTCCACATTTTTTGTTCAACTTTGGACATTAAGTTAGGTAAAACATAATATCCTTTTTTGCCACCTACGGCGATTTTTCATTAGATATTATGACTTTGGCAATACACACCAACAAACCACAGCAAGTAAGAAAGTAATACTTGATAGTAACCAACATTAGCTTTAGGATTGCAACCCTATTGTTCAGAACAGACCTTTACTTTACAGAACCAACCAGATTCTTTAAAATATAAGATGATAGTTTTTCTCTCTAAAACAGTGTTAATAGCTTCCTTTATACTAACGCCATGGAATTTAGATTAACAGTTTCTTGTCATCACCCCCATGCAATCGGTACAGCCGTATCAAGCATCATTATAACAAATTATAACTGTTCATCTGTATGATTCTTTTCAAAACTTGAGCTAGAAATTGCTTATCTAGTTTGCTTGGCCTAACCAATACTTATGTATCTGTACGACCTTTCACCTTATAGTTTTGCTGCTCTAAATCAATTGTATTTAATCCAAATGACAAACATTAAAAACTTCCACTTCAACTCTCAGGTGAAGCTGTAGTAAAAATGTTAAACCAATAGCTCACATGACTTTTTGCTTAGGTGTGTGCAAAAAGTTTCGTTAAATTTGAATGGTTTTTGTTTAATAACTTTGCACATGTTGCTAATATTTACACCAAATGAGATTCATAATTGTAGGTTGTAATGATCTATCATTGTATCAAATTTGAAAAAAAATCCATAAAAGTTAAGTATGTTTTTCTACCAAATAAAGTTTCCATACTTTTGGTGCAAAGGAAAAATAAAGAAAGAAAGAAACTCAATAAAAATTGGAAATGTTATATCTTAGGTATTTCTTAATGGATTGCCTTGAAATTTGGTTTGTGAAGTAAGTGTCCACTAGAGCACATCTACTGAAAATGTGTGTTAGTTTGGATTACCACATTGCAACCTGCTGAAGATGGAAAATTGCTAAACTATCACTCCTGTAAATAACACACGGTGTCCTGCAGGTTGTTTTTTTTTTGCCACAAGACACACTATCATGTGTCTTGATATAACCACAAGTTACAAACACATACATACCATATTTATAAGCCACCAAAAAAAAAAAGTTAAAGGTCAAACTTCACAGCTCATATCCCTTGGGGCTGGGGACTAACTCTACTGATTTTGAGGTTAAAAAGTTAAAGACCAAGGTTACCATTACAGAAAATATACTTGTGCTTTCTGTACAATTATAGTCACAAAATGCACACACACACACACACACCATGTTTATCAAAACACTGAAACAAAAAGAGTCAAGGGAATCCATTATTCTACTGATGGCTATTTCTCTCTAATTTATTTTTAGTAAATGTTTTCTGTTATTGGATTTATGGCAGTAGGTTCTAAGTGACTTCACGTGATTCCTTTCGAAAATAATTTCTGATGTAAAGGGTTTGCTGCTGATTGGTTGTTATTTTTTTGGTAGGTTGTGATTAATAAGTCAAAACGAAAACTCTACCTCACTATTGATAATGAAGAAACTCAATCAATGAAAGTTCGCCAGAAGTTGAGGGTTCGGTCACTTACTTACATTGGTGGCGTATCCAGGCAAATGAGTTTAGAAGAAAGATTGGTAAGTGCTTATTACCAAATAGTTATTAATGTTTTGTAATTGGTGTAACATTATACGTAAAGCTGTCGTTAGTGGCTTATTGTACTTTTCTATTAAAAAAACAGAGAGTAAATAGTGCTCTTTGAAGACTACTGTGGAATTGAATTAAACTTCTGTGTATTTTCTTGGTGTAAGGGTAAAATTATATTTTAAACTCTTGTTCTAGACTGTCTTTGCTTGTGTGACATGGACTTTTGAAATTTTTATGTAGCTCTACTAATGCTCACAATACACCTTTTGTTTCTATGGTTAAGGACTTTGTTATGGGAGCCATCAAATCTTGTCAAACATTTGCATCTTTGTTCATTGATCTGTTGAATTTTACTACATGTAGTTTGTTCGTTTCAGGTTAAGGAGAGTTTTAAACAATACACCCCAAAACCATATGTTAAACATTAACACCTTTATTCATTGCACTGTTAAAGTTCAAATGTATAGTTTGTTCGGTCCAGGTTGAGGTGAATTTTAAAAGATACATTCAAAAATCTTGTGTTAAAAACCTTTGTTCATTGCTTTCATAGCTCTGTTAAAGTTCACACTATAAACTTTATTCAGTTGAGTGTAAGAAGAGTTTTAAAAGATATTCAAAACTTTTATATCTGTAAATAGTTTTGCTCATTGCTCTTTACAATATGTAGTTTTTATTTCAAGGTAAGAGGATTTTAAAAGATACATTAAAATCTTTTATAACAGTCAACATTAAATAGCTTTGTTCATTGCTGTCTTACTGTGTTAACATACTTTGATTGCTTCTAGGTTAAAGACAGTCTTAAAGGATGCATTCGCAACCTTCACATTAACAACAAATATCTTGACCTAGCTGCTGGAAAACCAGCTCAAGCTATTGGTCAGTGTTTGGCCCGGATTGAACCAGGAGCTTACTTTGGTGGAGATGCCTATGCCATTTATGGTAAGTATATTTGAGAACAAAAAGATGAAATCATAATTATGTAGGATCTTTCCTCATTACTAGTTTACTTAACATACTTTAGGTTACCACACTGAAGGTGTCTGCAACAAAGCAGTTGTAAGGTTGTTATAAAAATATATTATTAACATGAAAAAATCCCATGTTAGAAGAAATACTTTATAAAAAGATTAAACAAGAAAGGTTAACTGAACAACTACTGACTAAAGACATTAAACAAGAAAGGTTAACTGAACAACCACTGACTAAAGACATTAAACAAGAAAGGTTAACTGAACGACCACTAAATAAGATGATTTTACAAGCAAGGTTAACTGAACAACTACTGACTAAAGACATTAAAAACGAAAAGTTAACTGAACGACCACTAAATAAGATGATTTTACAAGCTTTTCTTGTTTAATGTCTTTAGTCTGTAGTTGTTCAGTTAACCTTTCTTGTAAAACCATCTTATTTAGTGGTCGTTCAGTTAACTTTTCTTGTTTAATGTCTTTAGTCAGTGGTTGTTCAGTTAACCTTTCTTGTTTAATGTCTTTATTCAGTTTAACCTTTCTTGTAAAATCATCTTATTTAGTGGTCGTTCAGTTAAGGTAGTTCTACTGAAAATCTTCTTCTTTGGTAGTTCTACTGACAGTCTTCTTCTTTGGTAGTTCTACTGACAGTCTTCTTCTTTGGTAGTTCTTCTGATAGTCTTCTTCTTTGGTAGTTCTACTGACAATCTTCTTCTTTGGTAGTTCTACTGACAGTCTTCTTCTTTGGTAGTTCTACTGACAGTCTTCTTCTTTGGTAGTTCTTCTGATAGTCTTTATCTTTGGTAGTTCTACTGACAATCTTCTTCTTTGGTAGTTCTACTGATAGTCTTCTTCTTTGGTAGTTCTACTGACAATCTTCTTCTTTGGTAGTTCTTCTGATAGTCTTCTTCTTTGGTAGTTCTACTGATAGTCTTCTTCTTTGGTAGTTCTTCTGATAGTCTCTCTTCTTCAATAGCTCTTCACTTAGCCTTCCATGTTTTACTGGTTATTCAATCATATGCCTTCCTTCTTTAATCTTCTTATTCAGTAGTTGTTCAGAAAGAAGAAGAATGTCAGTAGAACTACCAAAGAAGAAGATTTTCAGTAGAACTACCAAAGAAGAAGACTGTCAGTAGAACTACCAAAGAAGAAGATTGTCAGTAGAACTACCAAAGAAGAAGATTGTCAGTAGAACTACCAAAGAAGAAGACTATCAGAAGAACTACCAAAGAAGAAGATTGTCAGTAGAACTACCAAAGAAGAAGACTATCAGTAGAACTACCAAAGAAGAAGATTGTCAGTAGAACTACCAAAGAAGACTATCAGTAGAACTACCAAAGAAGAAGATTGTCAGTAGAACTACCAAAGAAGAAGATTGTTAGTAGAACTACCAAAGAAGAAGACTATCAGAAGAACTACCAAAGAAGAAGATTGTCAGTAGAACTACCAAAGAAGAAGACTATCAGAAGAACTACCAAAGAAGACTGTCAGTAGAACTACCAAATTAAAAGACTGTTAGTAGAACTACCAAAGAAGAAGACTATCAGAAGAACTACCAAAGAAGAAGACTGTCAGTAGAACTACCAAAGAAGAAGATTTTCAGTAGAACTACCAAAGAAGAAGACTGTCAGTAGAACTACCAAAGAAGAAGATTGTCAGTAGAACTACCAAAGAAGAATACAACAATCAGTAGAACTACCAAAGAAGAATGTCAGTAGAACTATCAAAGAAGAAGACTATCAGTAGAACTACCAAAGAAGAAGACTGTCAGTAGAACTACCAAAGAAGAAGATTGTCAGTAGAACTACCAAAGAAGAAGACTATCAGAAGAACTACCAAAGAAGACTGTCAGTAGAACTACCAAATTAAAAGACTGTTAGTAGAACTACCAAAGAAGAAGACTATCAGAAGAACTACCAAAGAAGAAGACTGTCAGTAGAACTACCAAATAAAAAGACTGTCAGTAGAACTACCAAAGAAGAAGAAGATTTTCAGTAGAACTACCAAAGAAGAATACAACAATCAGTAGAACTACCAAAGAAGAAGAAGACTGTCAGTAGAACTACCAAAGAAGAAGACTGTCAGAAGTACTACCAAAGAAGAAGATTACACATGGTATGCCATTTAAAGAACTACTGAAGAAGAAGTAAAGGAAAATAACTGAAGAACTAAACATCAAGACTAAACAAGGGAAACTATCTATCTAAAGAACTACTGAAGAAGAATACGAGATAAGGGAGACTTAACTGAAGAGCTACTGAAGAAGAAGATTGAAAAAAAGGAAGAATAATTGAATAAATACTGAAGGAGATGATAAAGTGTGTATAAAACTAAAAGTTTTTCATTATGTTACACATAAATATTTTCTTACTTTCTGTCAGAATTTAAAAATATAGATTCTTCTCTTTTGCAAATTGTCAAAATAAAATGGCTTTTAGTTATATTTCTTAATACTATAAATACATATGCTATGTTGTTGTTGGGCTTAGGATTCTTCTACAGTCTGTGATTTGTTAATGATAAATTCAACGATGAATAAACAGCACACACTTCACTTGTTTTCAAAATAATATATATGTATATATATTCAGAACAAGTTAACTAACGTATAATAAATTCTTCAACACTATGGATATTATGGACATATCATAAATACTATGTATGTAGTTCTTTCCTTCTTGTCAAATATCAACTTAAGCCTATTCAATTACTTTAGAACTTCAGTTGACAAGTTAAACTATCTTCTCTATTTCTATCGCACTACTATTCACTGTGATTCGCTTAGTTACGGTAATTGTTTGGTCTTCTTTCTTTTGAAGATCCTCTGTTCCTTTTGTCAAAGTGCACTCAGGCTGATTCAGTTACTTTAAAATCATGCTTTAGCTGAATAAAATTATTTTTCTAATCTTCTTTTCTACTGTTAGTTTCACTCTAACATATGAAACATTAGGCCTATCATTTCTACCATACTTAACTTCACTCGAACTTTATTCTCTTTTGCTATTATCTATCTGCTTCTATCTGTCTGTCTGCTGCTTCCTGCTCATCTCACACTATTTATACTTTTATCACCTTAAAGTCTGTCTGCCTTCTATATTCTCGATGTCAGTATATTACACGTGACATTCAATATTCTCAACATCAATGAATTATTAACAAAACTTTCTACAATCGTCTGCTTTTAACTCTTGTTATAACAAAAACTAAACAATAATAAAATATTCACTCACAAAAATAAATTAATCAATAATATCTAAACCAGACAGTCTTTTATATCATGACACTTTCACAAAGTTATTGCTTTTCCTTTGGTTAAATGCAGTACATCTTTGTGAAACTTTACAACTGTTTTTGATTTTTTCTGTAGATGACAATTTTAACATTGGAGACAGTTTATATGTCAACCTGGAGTTCAAGACCACACAGTTAAATGGTGTTCTGGTGAGCCTTAGTGATGGGACTGGAGCAATTTCCTTCAGCATAGAGCTTCATAATGGAAAGGTTAGTGCAACGTGTTAAATTGTAGCAGATATCTCCATCAGAGCCTTCCCATTTGTGGAATTATACATTTTGTTGTACTTGATTGTTATTATGAGCTGATTTTTTTTTTCAAGGCTGATGGGTCTATAGCATTAATTTTCAAACGTCTTTGTCCATAATTTTTCGGTACATTCTATATAAATGAATGATACTGAAATGTTTGGAGTTAATTGTTTTTTTTAATTTATTACTGTGTTATATTTTTTGTAATCAAATGGAAACAAGTGTAAAATATTAAAAAATTAGTTGACTGTGGTCACAAAATTGATCCATTCTTTCAATGATTTCATGACATTTATATTTTGAATTTGATTACTTAATTTATTTTTAGTATTATATTTTAAAAACAAGTGTTACAAGAAAGCTACTTTTTCTGGCCTAATTGTCCTTCAGCTTGTATGGGTAATTGTTTCTTACAATTTCTTTCTTAAATTTGAATATTTAATTTATTTTTTATAATAGTTTTTCTAACAGGTGATTTATATGAACACTTTTTTTGTTACTGACCTAGTTATCTTTCAATTCGTATGGATAATTGCCTCTTATATTTTATATTCTAAGTTTGATCAGTTAAATTATTTTTCATATTACATGTTTCTAATGAGTGATATAAAGAAGTATTACCTTTTCTCTGAACTAGTTGCTCTTCTTCTCGTTAGGTAATAGTTTCAGTGACTGCTGGAAGGAAGGAAGAAACAGTCCAAGCTATCAAGTCCTCCATGTCAAAGTATGACCTGTGTGACAGCATGTGGCATCAGGTGACAGTCGAATACATTGAAAATGTTGTCACCTTAAAGGTGGACATGGAAGACTTAGTGTCTGGCTTTGGAAAAAGTAGTCCAATCTTAAATCATTCTCGCCATCCTTTGTATATCGGAGGTCTTCCTGGTATGTTTATTTGAAATTTTCAATACGCATCTTGGAATGTTTCTACATTAACCTCACCAGTATATAATAAAACAGTGAGTTACTACCACTTTCCTCTGGGCTGCCTGATATATGTATCTCTTTGGCAAGTAATTCTCACTATAATCTGTGTAAAAAAGATCTTTTATGGACTCTTAGATTGCTCTCATAAAACCCAAAATAATTGGTAGTAACGGTCCACTGGATATGTTTTTATATTTGTCATAAAACCTTGAATAGCTGCTGCAGGATGTCTTGTGTGTAGTTTATACTCTGTCATAAAACCCTGAATAACTGATGTTAGACATCTGATACGTAGTTTATACTCTGTCATAAAAAAACCCAAGTTATTTTTACTGTCATCCCTGCATCAGAGGTTTTCATGGTATGTTTATTTGCTGTTATCATAAAGAAGTTTGTTAAGTTACTTTCATTTGACACTTTTTATGTATGTTTTCTTGAAAACAGTTTTCTGTTGTTTATTTCTAATTGCTTTGTCATGAAGGATTTTAACATGAAATATTTCTGTGTTTTTCAGAGAGTGCACCTAAAGGATCTCTCCAGATTCGAGACAACTTTAAGGGGTGCTTGAGAAAATTAGCCATCAATAGCAGAAGACTGGATTGGGTTCACATGGTTTCACTTCAAAACGTTTTGCCTGATTCATGTCCATCTTTCTAATTTTGACTTGTTCTAATTGTTCTGTTTTAATTTATGCATAAGATATGTGTAAAGATAACACTAAAGTATAAGTGATTCAAATTACTAATGGTGCTAATTAATTCCTTAACCTGTAATTTACTAATTCTGATGTAAAATTTATTATAAATAAGATTTTACTTCAGCCCAGTTAAATGATAGTTTTCGTGAGAACATAAACATGCAGTTCCGAGTATAAAGCCTCAATATGGTGAAACAGATTTATTTTAAGGTTATACAGACTTACCATAAGTAGTCCAGTTTTGAAGTCCCTGTGACATATCTCAGGAAGCTCATAAATATCTTGTTTCCTAAATTAACAAGAACATTGTGACATCCTTTTGGATATAATGATTTAATTCATAATTTCAAGCTTTGAGGAGCAAAGATTTAACATTTTTCGTCTTTACAAGATAGTAAATGCAATATAGACCAATTTTGGACCAGTATAAATTAATGATACAAACATAACGTTACTTACAAAGCTCTTAGGTTATTCTGACATTGTAAATAAGCAATGTACACTGTTATATTTTTCACTATAAATTTTTATATATTTTTTGTAGCTTCTACTGAGGCACTGCATGTATCGTCTAAATTATAAAGTAAATTAGGATGTGAACTGACTTTGTAGACTTTCAAAATATGTAAAACAAAAGCGTAATCATAAAAGCCTCTTTAGGAATTTACAAAGTTCTTCATTTTTGTTATATGACATGTATGATGTTACAAATTATGATTTTCTTGAACTAATGTATTGTAAAATTGAAAGACTTAATTAGTAAATTCTCCTTTAAAAGTTGTATTTTATTTTTGATATAATTATTGACATTTTATCAGAAAGAAAGATGCTTTCCAGGTACAACATAAATTTCTTTTGATTATTGTTTAAATGAGTTCTAATGATACATACTTTTCTTTAATCAGAATTTGTCAATCATTGATTGTAAATTTAAGAGTTAATTGAAGTTTGAAATCAAACTGCAAACAAGTTGCTTTGTAGCAAACAAACGAAACTTAGATATTTGTAAATTACAGAAACTAGAACACTCATCTTATTTACAATTTTTGTGTTATTTAATAGCAAAATAAATATAGTGTTGTAATGTGTTCTGTTGTTGGGTGGGTTCTTTTGGATTATCTGATAAAAAGAAATTACAAAATCCAGTCAAAGTAACAATAACAGTTTAGCTTATTTCTTCTTTAACATTCACTACAGGCTACTTTTACTCGTAGTAGTAGGTCCATGTGCACATATCAACAGAAATTCTGAAACTAATGGTAAGTATACCTAACTCACAAATAAACTTGCTTATAGAATTTTCTCACAGATTGTTCGAGTTACTAAATAGATTCAATAAATTTCACTTGTAACACTGAACTCGTTACTCATGTTTATAAATAATGTGCCCTTGTCTCTAGACATTAGGTGAATCTTCTACATTATTACATCATCATCATTAGCAGCTCCTTCTAGCAAACCTTCACATAAAATACCACACAATCCTCTATTGCATTAAACCATCCTGTGAAGAGAATTGGACAAAAAGGTACTTGACCCAGTTAACTCCTGGGAAAAGTTAAAGTTAGAAACTTGCATGGGCAATGCTACGTTCCAACCTTGAGAATTAAAGAGGTGAAAAAAAATATTGGGGAACTTTAAAACTAAAAGAAACGGAAAACGTGTAGTACAGCCTGGTGCTACATCATCAACCTGATACAGACAATGAAATTTCTTACATCTGCCACATTAAACAGTTGTTGACTTTGAGCATTACATTACTGTGTCTTGGATATTGTGTTACATACAATATACTTTATAGTTATTTAAAAACTACTTGGAGAATTCTCCTCAAAGTTTATTCATGACTAACATATTAAATTGCTTGAATCATACGTGGGTGCAGAAGAGAATTCCCTGCAGTGGCAAAAGCATAGATAGCTCATTGCATAACTTTGTGCTTAAAAACATCCAGGCGAAAGGAAGTATAAAAATTAAAGATCAGGAAAGCAGGGACGACGCTTGCTTCAATAAAACAAACTTGTTCAAAAGTGCAGAAAATATTAACCAAACAAATAACAGAACTGAGTAAAGCTCTCACTGAGAAGCAAAACAAAACTTATTGTAAAAACTTAAAAGAAAGTCATGGTCATTATTTACAACTTTCAGATTTCCCAATTAAAATCCCTCAAGGGCTTTGTTATCAAGCATGTCATCACCTTCTGGTCATTCCAACAACACTTGACATAAGCGTTGCCATATATATATATATTTAATGGTTAAGGGCTAAATCACTGATCATTATTAGGGGTTTGAGGAGTGCAAGTTAGCTCTTTTGTAGTTGAACATTGAAATCAGTATGTTTAGCACAGTAATAATGTATTCAGATGTACTAAATGGTCGTGGTCCCTTTTATCAATACAATGTGAATGGCGAAGTACTATACCATTATACTGCATACTGACCAGGAAAATTTCATATTGTCATTGACCTTCTGTCTAGGTTAAAACCTTCATATTCTCATTTATTTTGGAATAATTCGCTATGTCTGAAAAGACTTTGCTTACACTTACATAGACAACTGGCAACAAAGATCCTTTCATTACCCAAAAACCAACTTTCTTTATAACACTTTATTAAAAAAGTTGGGGCATTGAAGCCTACTACACAGCAGTATTACATCTAATTCACTCTTGTGTCTGTGATGGTGATTCATCTTAAGGTTCTTCTGATTGTGGCTCAAATGAAGCATTACTTTCTTCCTCTGACTGTTTCACAACTTGATAAATATTACTTTTGCTTGTCGATTCACTGGTTTTTTTCCACATTACCTTTCAACCATTAATTACATCATACCTGTATTGTGGCATTAATAGAGTCTAACCTTCACTCTACAGTAAACGATGACAACTGAGGTTCTTCATTGGTTTATATAGTCCTTCAAATTGTTTCTAGAATGGTCTCAAAACATTCTCAGAATGGAGCTTTAACGATCTAACACGAGATGGAGTGTAATTGCAAGCTAGATGATATATTGAGGGTTAAAGTAGTTCCTACATTTTAGTGCAATAATGTGGCGGGATAATTAATCTGATACTAGTGTGAATTGAACCCGCCACCTTTACCTACCACGAGACATTATGGCTTCACTTTTATACGTTCTACCAGAGAAATTTCTAACTAATCACTGTTTAGAAGAACTGTAAGAATAGTAAACTATTATCTAAAGCATCACATGGCCTGGTGGTTAGGATGCTGATCTGCAATCTGTTGCTGGTGGGTTCGAATACCCACCCTTTGAGCTATGGGGGCATTATAATGTTTGCGGGAAATCCCACTATTTGTTTATAAAGAGTTGACAGTGGGTGGTGTTGAAAGTCATGTAGGGATGATCTATGTATAGCTGTATCATCCTTATATTCTTGTTTGCATTCTTTTTGGCACTGCCATTTCTACATCATTTTACATTCACAAAATGTTTTTATTACTTGTTTTGTGACGTTTTTTTTCCTGACTGAAAGTTAGTATATTCTGTGATTGTGTGTAATAAAATTTAATATTATGTGTAATGATTTTATTTTTACTCTTTCACTTCATACATAATATAAGGGTTGGCTCCCTAAAGACACCAATTGTATAGTGTAGGAAGCATTGAGTATTCTACATGTTACAGTCATCTAATGTTCATCCATTATTGGCTGGTAATTCATGTTTCATTCTGTACGTGAGCTTTTTAAACGAACACCAGATTTCGGTAAAAAAGGCTAATTTCATGGGGTAATGGTAACATTGTTTAACTAGAATAGTGATTTAAAAAAATCACTACTAGTTATAACGACTAAGCGATGACTTTGTGCACTGTGGATTTAGGTTTAAATTGACGTTAGTGATAAAGTAGTTGTTAAGTTATTTCGACTAAAACAAGAAGAAGAAAGACGAACAATTTGGTGAGTTGGTATCTTAGTGATGGTTTCTTGCCTTGTTTTTGGGCATGTTGGGTAAAGAAACAAATGAAAGTGAGTGGCAATCATCTTTTAAAGTAAAACTCTCTGTGACTGTTGATTTTTTAGCGTGCATAGTTGTATTATGCCTGTTGAGTACCTTGGCCATCTCTACATATAGAGTCTACTGACTCTATGATAATTAAATCTATATCTAGAAATATACAGTCAGAATAGCAGTTATTGACAAGAATATTTCCCAACCAGGTGTACTGGTATTGAGTCATAGAAAGAAATGTTGGTATTTCCATGATTTATTGAAATAGCGTTAAGTTTCTATATGCCGTCTTAAAACTTTTTTCACTTAAGCTAAATATGGTCCTGGCCAAACATTTCAAAACGTACTAATTTCATTTTTCCTCCTGAAGGTCACCTGTTTTAACCACTCGCACCACTATACAGTTGCCAGTCAGTTAGTAGACACTAAAATGACGTCACATAAGAGACGCTTAACGTTGTAACTAGTACTGTCGTGACGTTAGTAAAACGTGCACATGCCATGAATCACGAGAAGAATTATGCATTTTGTAGACTACAACACAGCATGGCATATGATCTTCAAAAGCAATATTTGTTACTCTTAATTCTGGATTTATTTACTCTTAAAACAGTACACTTTTGGGGACCTTGCACAAGTACATCTAGCTTTATATATACGTTTTTCAATAATTTGTTTACTTTATCATGTTCTTTAAAATACAGATTTCAGTTCAGTGTTAAACGTGGATAGTCAACAACACGATTATCAATAGAGTACCCTTAAAATTAAAAAACAATATCACAAACTTCCCATAACAAAAATGATATTTTAGAAGAAAATAAATGGTTGGAGAAGGAAAGAAACAGAATGAATTGGATATTATGGTGACTCTCTGACGTTAAAAAGTAATGTACCCTTCAGCCCCTTTCGGGGAACAATGCTATTAGCCAAAGGCATAAAAGTGAAACGTAACAGTGTAACATATTAACTCGTGTATTCTACGTTAATATATGAAATATCATTAGTTACCAGTAACTTAAAAGGCGTATATCTCCTAATTCATCAAATATTTGAAGAAAATAACCCCATCTGAAGAAACGATTTGTTTCCCATTTTGAGAACCAAATCTCAATAAAGTAGAAACAACGCTAAAAGTTGGTTTCAATGGCACATTATGTAACTTTGCACTTAACAATGCACCAACACCTACCGTATTTTGAGTATGAGATCTATTAATTTTTGTGGTAAGCCAAATATTTTCTTGCAACATATTATAGGATTAGTAATTTTACGACCATTCCAAAACTGGTGTTTCATACCTTAATTTATTAATGAATTTTGAAAGGTAATAATGAACAATTTTAGTATGGTGAATACCAATAGTTTTATCTTTTGTTAGTTTCATCTCCAATTATAATTAATGTAAAATGTATAACATCTCTGTACATAGAATAACATTATGTCATTAGTTTAGTTGCATTAGGTTTTGCTAATTAATTGTATACTTACAATTTCGCTACTTCTTTTTTAAGTCTTTTAAATGTGATTTTTTTTCGTTTCTTATAAATTGTTTCTAGTTCTTAGGGTCTAACTTTATTTGATATTGTATCTGCTTATTTGTTTCTGGTAGAAATTATTTCCGTTGATCTTCAGCGATACAAGTCCTTTCTTGATTAAACCAGTTTATTCTTCCTCGATACAAACTTTTAGTACACAGAAGTTCCACAATCAGTACATTTCTCGTCACTTTGAACTTAACAACTTTTATAATACATGCTATAAATCACAGTGATTCACAATCTCGATAACTTCGCTCTCAACGAGTGCAGAATACACTTTATGGCTCACTAGCTCGAAACTAACAGAATCATAAATTACACGGAACTCAAAGTAACTACTCTCTTCATTTATATCCCTGCTGGCTTTCTCTGCCAGGCTTATATACTACTTGAACATACTAGGACTTCCACGATCATTCGAGAAACTCATCACGCACGCTACCAGTGCCAGCAGCTTCACGTGACTTCCACTGTCATAACAATATTAAGATAAACAACTTTTTAAAGCACAGATAAAGTAAAAATGTGTATTTTGGTACATGCGCGGGCAGGTGCCTATTTTCCTACAT